AATCCCAAGAAGGGAATGGAGGAGACAGGATTGCAGCCTGACCATCCCTTAGGGATAATTTCTCACTCCTTCTCTCTGTCTCTCTCCAGTGAGCATGGTGCCCTATGGCAGTTACATCATATAGACTCATTTCACACTGTTCCTCTTTAGAAATGTTTTCCTTTCTTCATGATAGAGTATATGAGAGACAGAGAGAAAGGCAGAGAGCGAAACAGAAATGAGCGTGTTCTACAGCATCTGGTTACACTGCAGTCCTCTTTCTCCAGCCTTCCAGCCGGTCTGGACACTTGTGCACATGCTTGGCATGTTTCAGTCTGACTGGGTTGAGGATTCAAACTGTGGATATCATGGGATATCCTGCTTCTCTTGAGCAATGTATTACCTTTGCACGAAGCCTTTGCACGAAACCAAAGAGGTTTTTGCCCTAGGGCACATATACTCGCTGGAGAGAGAAACAGAGACAATGTGAGATAAAGTGAGAAATTACACCCTCGGGGGATAACCACACCGCAATCCCTTCTCCATTCTCCTCCTGAGATCTTGGGCACACACAAACACATGCCCTGCATGATTTTCAAGCCACTGGGTCTGTGACTCCAACCCACGGTCAGCCTTGTGGGAATCCAGTGCTACACCATCTGCTGGCCCTAGCCCTCTTCTTTAAAAAACCTTATTGTTGTTTTATTCCTTCTATGAACAAGAAAGAACAAGAGACAGAGAGAGAGAGTACCCTCATCATGTTCTTGATGGCACAATCCACCCCAGCCTTAGCCAACCCCAGATCACAGGCCCTCACAGATCCTGCATACTCAAAAGAGGAATGCTGCTGCCTCCCACCTGGGTCAGCCTTACAGAGTATAGCGTGTCCACTGTGCCACCATTTTGTAAATGAAGTCATCATATGTAGATTACTGGAGAACAGAATGTTGGATTTCTTCTTCTAAGTATTATTATCTTAATTGCTAGATTATTTTTATAGGCCATTGGTCACAAGATCATTAAGATGTCACATTAAGATGTCACAAGAGGTGGACCAGTCTATGACCTGGTTGTTAAGGGAGCTGGATCCTACATAACCAACTGTGTTGTTCTAGTCCAAGACCCAGCAGCTTGACAAACACTCCAGGCCCAAGTGTGCATGCCCAAAGTGCTATAAGGAGGGAAAAATGGAAGAGGAGGGAGGGATTGCATTATGGCCATGTCCCACAGGAGACGCTCTCTCCTTCTCTCTCTCTGGTGGATGGATGTGCCCTCTGGCAATTAAAAAAGTTGCAAGCTAGATATCATAATTAAAATTTTTCACTTTGTCAAATTCATTTTAGAGCTATTGTGAAAATATCATTAATTTTCAAAAATGGCCTAGCCATGAAACCCTTTCCTTAAACTTTTTAAAATTCCATTTGTTGTTGTTGTTATAATAATAATTATTATTATTATTTTAATTTGATCAGATAAAGAGAGAGAGAGAAAAGGAAAGCGAGAGAGCAAGCCACCAGGCCTGGGACTCGAACCATGGTCAGCCATGTGGAAATCCAACACCTTTAACCATCATGCCACCTACCGGCCCGCCTTTCCTTAAACTTTTACATAGAATCCCAATATGTAAATCAAATAAAATGGAGTTTGACTGTTAAAGCTATTATAGGGATATAAAGTCCCTCCTAAACTTGTGTCAAGTCTTCCAACCTCCTT